CTCCAAGAGACTGTCCAACTGATCCGAGCCTCCCAAGGCAGCAGACATGTTACTGAAACTGTGCCACACCCTCCAGACCAACACATCCATGAGATAAATGCCGTCAAAAGTGCCTGGAGCCAAAGACTATCTAGCCAAGCTTTAGCCAAATTCCAGGTTCATAAAATCATAATGTAATATGGTACTTCTTGTTTTTAGCCACTAAATGTGAGGGTTATTTGTTATGCAACAATAGCTATCAGGAACAGGCAGCTAAAAGGGTGTGACTTAAATTGGGCAGTTGGGGAGTGCTTAATGTAGTATCTTTCCCTGTGTGTGTGTGTGTGTGTGTGTTGTTGTTTTCCTGGTAATGGGGATTGAACCCAGGGTCTTTGCACTAAGTGACATCCCCAGCCCCTTTTTATTTTGATACAGGGTCTTGCTAAATTGTTTAATTGCCCAAGCTAGGCTGCAACTTTCTATCCTCCCGAATCATCTCCCAAAGTGTGTGCCACCATGCCCAGCCCAGATGTAGTCTTTAATGGTACATGAAGCTTCAAGAAAAAAAAGTCAGCTGACCATGTGCACAAAGTAAAGACCATGAGAAGGACCTGTACAGTGAGGAGCCCTGAAGTTTCACTGGTGATCTTTACAGGGTACACGTTTTAAGAGCATGATTTTAAGAGGCCAGTCCTCTTAGCTTAAACAGAAATGGTGAGAGGCAGAACCTCAGTATCTGGGGTCTTAACCTGCCTCCTACGCCCACGGCCTCCACTAAGTGTCTGCTCTCCCATGGCCAGGCAGGGGATGGGGTAGGGAGTGGATGTAGTGGTCACCTCCCTCAGCTGAAGGCCCTGCTGCAGTCTGTGTCTTGACTCTCTCTGCCATTTGATGTCCACATCCAGAAACGCCAGAGGTCCTTCAAGTCCATGTTGAACACTGAGCCTTTCCTTCACCCTCCAATCTCGTCTCTGCCCAGGCGCTCACACCTCCAGGTACCACGGGAATCAGCCACAAGCCCCTCCTTCACTCATTCCCCTCCCTGCTGAACCAACCAGGCTGGAGGCTGGGCCCCAGCAGTTCTCAAAGGTTGGTCTTCTCTCCCTCTTCCTACTGCCGCTGACCATCTTTCCGCGCTATCATTGTTCACGGCTTTTCTTTCGAGGGATTCAGCCTTTTTCCTAATAACCTACCAAATCCAATGTGGATCTCACCGGGTTTGCCTGTCTCTCTCTGAACGCTCACCTGACCTCCAGGCATTGCAGGGGCTCTGCGACCGGGCTTGTGCCCGGCCCATCTCAGTGGCCTGTCCACCAGCTCCCTTCACCTGCTGTCAACCTGCCCCTCAGCTCCTCTCCCGAGGGTCTCAGCACCACACCCACCCCTCTGTCTCTGTGGCCCCGGGCACTGGGCAGAGTGTCTTCCCCTGTGAGCTCCAAAACCTGTAACACTTGAGAAGACTCACAGGCCCCTCCGTGCGGTTTCCTTCTCTGTTAGATGGGACAAGAACAGCCATGCTGAAGGACAGGAGGACTGCAATAGTGAACATCTACTGAGCAAGCCCTAGGCCTTTTTACACATGATCTCATTTAATCCTCGCAGCGCCCACAGAGACCGGCCCTACCATTAGCGCCGTTTACAGGACGCGGAGGCCGCGTGAAGCGCCGGTCGCCCGCTTTCTCGGGCGGCTCCGGACCGCCCGGCTGGGAGCAGAGGGTCCCCTCCGCAGGCCGCGCCCCGCCTCCACAGCACCCCGAGGCGGCGGGAAGAAGCCCGCCTGCTCTGGTGTATCCCAAGGCCCCAGAACCGGGTCTGGCTCAGGGTAAATACGCACTCCGTAAATATTTACCGACTGCAGTAATCCGTGAATGAATAACCCCAGCCTGGGGCAGGCCTGGCTCTCGGCTCCCGGTTCCCTCTCCTGCTCAGAGCTGGGTGCTGACGCAGAACAGCTCAGTACAGACCTGGTACACAGTAGGCGCTCAGTAGTGTGTGGAGCAAGAGGAGGAGGAAGAGAAGGAGGAAAATAATTTCTTCTTCCCACTCTCTGTCTCCCCAGCTGCCCAAGTCTGTGACTTCCTAGGGCCAAGGGCCCAGCCTGGCTTCAGGGTGAATTTGGAAATAAACGTGGATAGTGAAGGTCAAGGAGGGAACCCCGTTCCGTGTCCCCTCCAGGGAGGAAAAGAGAAAAGGTAGACTCGGCAGCGCTGTCCCCTAGGGCGAGCCCCGCCGTGCCGCACCCCACGCTCCTCCTCCCGGGCCCCACGTGTGTTCCCGGCCGCCGGGGAGGACCCTCACCTCCCACCTTTGTGCCACCTACGACCCGTGTGAGCGGCCGGCTCCGATCAGGGCTTGCCGGGGCCTGGAGGAGCGACCTGGGCCTTTCACGTGGGTCCTGCGCCTCTTCCTGACCACACAGCAGGGAGTGGGTCGGGGGCGCCGTGGGCGCAGGACTTGGCCAGGTTCCAGGGGCCTCCGCCGGGCTCCCCAGGCCATGGAAACTGGCCGGGGCGGGGAGGAGCGGAACCTGGGAACCGCGGCCCTCGGCTTCCACTGCTCCCTGGCCGAGCTGGTGGCAAAAGCCACCTGGGCTTTGCTACGGCCGGCCGCGTCCTCGCTCTGGTTCGCGTCGCGGGTATGCCAGCACCGGCCGCCCCGAAAGGGAAAGGCGAGCCAGGCAAGACAAGTGCCAGGACCACGCTGGACCTCATTTTCCTGTCCTGTGAAATGGGGCCGGCCATGAACAACTCTCCGGATTCGTCCCAGTTTGCTGTGAGGATACACTAAAAATAGCCTGCGAAGCTCCAGACGCTCGGCAATGAGCAGGGTGACCGCCGGCCTTGAGTTTGGCTCGAAAGAAGGCAGAAACCGAAGAGTCTCAGGGGACCCACAGCGGGTCCCATCCAACACCAAGAGGCCCAGACCGTCGTTTGCTGCCCTTGGGGAGCAGTGGGGGTGGGGGGAACCGCGGGGCAGGAGGAGGCCGGGAGACCTTGGAAGCTTGGGATGCGGCCTGGGTGCCGCGAAATCTGCACTTCCAGAAGCTGCGTGCTTTCTCCCGCCTTCCCCTCTTCTTTCTAACCCTTCCCTCGTCTCTTTCTCTCTGCACCTTCTTTCCTCCCTAGCTTCCTTCGCGTGTTCGTCCATCTCTCTTCCCGCATCTTTCTTCTCTCCTCCCCCTACTTCATCTCCTGTCACCCTCGCACTTTATAACCAAACCGCCAAACCCCCTTTCCAATTAAAGTGGAATTAGGCAACTCAATCAAATTAGTTCCCTATTAAAGCCCTTCTTTATTAAACCGTTTTCTTGTCCTGCTATTAAGTTTCGCAGCCTGGCGGAACTCGAGCCGGCCACAGAAGTTTACCTTAGGACGTCGGCGGTCTAGCCTAGGGGAGGGGGCACCCAGTTTCCTGGAGCGGGGGAGCCACCCTGCGGGGAGCGGGAGGAACGAGAGGGTGAAAAGGGGGTCAGCCCCAGCCGCTAATTTGCCGGGCTCTGCTCAGGACAAAAAGACAAGGAGGCAGTGGGCTGGAGCCTCAGCGCTCTCCTAACTCTGCTTCGGGCGAAGGCAGTGGCCCTCCGCCCCCAAATTAACGCCCGGGCTCCGGGCCCTGCGACCAGAACAATCGCTGCCCCTCTCCCCGGTCGTCACCTCCACTGTCCTTGGCTCCGAACCTAAGAATCAAGGGGCGCACTGTGCAATCCAGGCAGTACCCAAATCTGTGCCCCGGGGAGAGCCGAATGTGTGTCGCCAGCCTCGCAAGGCCCCCGGGAAGGCTCGGCCTGGGTCCGGGAGCAGCGGGCGTGGCGTGGTGACCCCGCCGCAGCTCCCCCCGGGGAACGAGGGCTCCCGGCTGCGCCGCGGGTGCGTCGGGGCGCGCTGGGCCGTGGAGCCTCGGGGCGCCTCGAGTAGGTTGCGCTCCCTACCCGAGGGTTGAGGCCAGGCCTGGGCAGGACCTTGGTCAAAGTGTTCCCTCACAACCACAGCCTCAGCGGTAAATATTTTTTTCTCTCCTCCGCCTGAGAAGGGGGACGGGATTCGGCGCTGTTTTCTTAGAAAATAACATTTATTTCTAGTCATATCTATGCAAAGGAAAGCACAAAGTGAACGGTTAGCTGCAGCAGTGTCTCTCGCTGCCGATCTTCGGCCAGGGCGCTTGGCGAGTCGGGAGGCGAGGGCGGCCGCGCGGTGCTTCTGGCTCGGCCGCAGTGGCTCTGTCCCTGCGTCCGGGCGCACCGTGGCAGCTCGTGAGGGAGAGGCCGGCCGCAGGCAAGGGGAGCGGGTGGGCAGGATTCGTCCCGAGTTTGCAGTATATTTAATCTATAAAACCTGATAAGGACAATGTGCGCGAAGTCTAATTTTTTCCATGTTGTTCTTTTTATGCTTGTTTTTGAATGTTTTTCACGTTAATACCGAGGTCACCTACAGATTACAATTAATAACTTAGAATTCCATTTTATAACATTATACACGGGCTTGTATATATATATGTATAGATTATATATAGATTTATACATATATAAAAACTCACACTGCACCAAGGAAACCCATGCTTATCGGCATAAGCAACAAAGAGAGCGACAAATACCGCAACAAGGAAAGTGCACCTTAGAACTCGTTTCCTTTTTTTTACAATTGATATCGATATATGTGTGTCCCAAAGACTCAACTCAGTGCCAAGAGATGTATATATCCTAAATTTATATTTGTTAGAATATTTTTTTTAAAAAAAAATTGAAAAGAGAGGGCCTGGGGAGACATAGAAGAGACTCTCCGAGTTGAGAGCGCAGCCGACGAGGTGAGCGCAGCTAAAGGAGCAGCGGAGCGCGCGGCGGCCGCCCCAACTCGCAGGAATCCTTGGCCCTTTGGAAAAGCGGCCGTGCGAGCCTGGAGGAGGTGTCCGGAGAGAGGCGAACACCCAGAGCGCACAGCCCTGCGAGCGCACCTGCGCCTGCGGCTGCTCCCCTTTGCCAGCCCTCACCCCCCGCCCAACAAAACGGCAAAGACTCCGGGAAGCAGGAGGACCCGAGCCGGGGCAGAGCGCGCGCCAAGGGCACAGGGGCCGCGGCCCGCGGGGACAAGGCCGGGTTGGCGTTGGGGGCCGCGGGGCCCTCGCCCTACTGCTTCTCGGGGGCGCCGTTGACCATGGGGCCGTAGAGCCCGCCGCCGTAGGTCGGCTCCTTGTGCACGGCGGCGGCGGCGGCGGCGGAGCGGTCGCGCATGAGGTCGCTGAAGGCGTAGTCCATGGGCGGCCGGAAGCCGAGCGTGGGCACCAGGCCGGCGGTGGAGTAGGGCGCCATGAAGGCCAGGCCGCGGCTGTGCGCCGCCGCCGCCGAGTAGGCCAGGCGCAAGGGGCTGAGGCCGAGAGGCGCGCCCAGCGGGTAGGCGCCCGCCTCGGCCCCGAAGTGACTGGCGTTGGGCTGCAGAGGCGAGAAGGCCGAGCGGCTGCTCAGCGAGCCCAGCGCCCCGGGCGCCATGGCGCCGGCCAGCAAGGGTCTGTGGTGCGGGG